ATAGCTCCAGGTTGCGACGCACAAGCTACAGCGACCAGCGCTGAACCAGCAGCGAGTGTTTTACTCCTGAGAATCATAGTGGCGTTATGCGACAAGACAGAGACTGATTGTGGTTGAACAAGAGGGTGAAACCGCCTTGTTTTGATGAATGAAGAAGAAAGAAGGCGGCCGAATTCGGCTCGAATGGACGAGGCATGATAAGGTCGGCACACGGTAGAAATGACGTTGGAGGGGACCCTGAGGGACAACAAGGCCTCGAGTGCCGTGATTGGTTGATACCGTTGGCATGGAAGCTTATCAGCGAATGGGAAGTGTTGGATGTCTCCCCGCAAGGGGTCACGACCAGTCGATAGCGCACATCAGCGGGTCCGCTGCCTGGGGCCACGAGGACGCGCATTCCATGGAGGTGCTGAGGCTTCAACTCAACCCGTGACATGCGTTTCAGCTGGTGTCATGAGGAGTGCCTGAGGGTTCAATCTAAGGGCTTTCTCTTGAACCGTTCATTTGAGGAAGAGTTTAGATAAAACAGCAAGGGAGTGAACATGGACATCAATATGCAAGTTCCGGTGACAGCCTGTATCCAACCTTACAAGTTCCATAGACTCATGAGAATACTCGAGTCCCATTGAACCCATCTTCATCGTCTCCTGTACTCCGTAGACCCAGGCGATGTTCGAAACACCAACTAACAAGAACTCACGCCGACTAGCGGAGGCCATGTCTACCAGTTTCCCTTCATATAAGCCTCACACTCAGCTTGTTGGCTCACTTACACCGGAAGATCTGGGTGTACTTTGCACATCCTTATTGAAAGCTCAAGCTAAACAGTCTCCGAATCTGGTATAATAGCGCGAGGCCAAGCTTCCGTTCAACACTGCAGCATACGATAGGTCGGATGTTTCTCACAGTGGATCTTTGGTCCCCCAGTACGAAATACGAGATGCGCCGGAGGCCCCACCGCCGGCCGCTGTGCCTCCCGGTTGCCGGTATAAGTTACGGTTCAAAGCCCGGGTCTCAGTGTGATCTGTATTCAGCATATAAAACACATAGCTCTGCATCTTTGATGTCTTCTTCGACTTCGATTCCAGACTTGAGATTGTTTGATGAGTGACTACTCGACTGTCTGAAGATAGTCGTGTCAGCAAATCGGACATCGGAGCATCTGCATGTCCCGACTAGACCAAGGCAAATGCATAACCCAAAACTTTGACTTCCTCACAGCCTCTGGGCACGAGACAAGAAGTATCTATAGAGAGACATGTCGAATACCGATCCTTCGGTGTCTTCGTCGACGGATTCTGGTAAACCTGCCCACAAGGTACACACGAACAACCAAAGGCGTCTCACTAACACGCTATAGGGAAGTTGAGTGCGGACAACATATCACAGAAGCTTAACGTAAACTCCGAAAAAGATTGCTTTGATCTCCTGTTTCAAGAGATGGTAGCTTTGCCGGAGCGTGAACCATTAGCACCAACCTCGGGATCCTCGATGACTTCTCAACTGTCACTTATATCGCGTATGTCGCTCCTATGCCATGGTTCCAGAATCGCGATAGAGCTGACAATGATCAGAGAGAAGTTCAGCAACAGATAGTACAACGAGAACCAATGTCTGGATAGCAAAGACAGTACGGGCAGCTATGTCTGATGCTATTTCCAAGCCATAATCTCCAGCAGGGACCAAGATGACACATCCATATCTACAGTACAATTCTTTGGTGACTTGACGCTACTATCAACCACGAACAGTCTCGACACACGACTTGGTTGCAGCGACTGCTTCGCTGGTCGGGGAATTTCAGCTTGGCCGCCACTCTAACATCGCGCACGGATAACACACTGCGGCTCGTTCCGCACGACTTTAATGGAGTGCATATTAAGTGAATCGCAAGCACTGCTTTCACTGGAAAGGGAATATTGTTATAATTATTATTTAGAACATGACCAAGGCAAAAGAAATGATTCGATACCAAGTCAAAGAAATAGCTTCGGCCAATTCGTCTTGCCTACCCCCACGTGGTTACCCACCATCCTCACCTCATCTCTTTCCCGTCCTCGGGGTGTAAGAAGACTTCTGACATTAAACAGAGGTACAAAAAATACTTAGTCTAAGATCTTCTAAAACTTCACTAAACTTACCTAAGTTTACCTAAAGCTTTTTATCACCAACCTAAGAGGTCCTAAGTTTTATTGCATCCCCTTGCCCGTGTCCCTACACAAGAACAAGCCTAGCAGTTTGGTGGCCCTCCTTCAGGTCAGCTCTATACGCCACAACAACATTGAGTATTAGTAAAGATCGACAACTGGGTTCTATATCCTCAAACTGTTAACATATTTCTTTTATTGTGCACATTGAATTCGTTTACAGGTAAAATTCACGATGTGCCTTTCTTCACATGTTCCTCCATCTACTGTAGTCTGCACCCCTTCTGTAAGCACTGTAACACCCCCCTGCAATAGGGAGCTTTGACCCCCCGGCAGCCGCCGTCCTCCCCCACTGCACAAGACGCCACTGGGAGCTCAATCGAGGACGTTTGACCCGACCAAGTCTAGCTCGTGCTCTTGGCTCCCGATAAATCGTGGATCCCGGTTCCAAGATGATCCAATAACGAGAGCTAGAATTCGCTTTAGTGAAAAAAAGAAAGGGAAAAAATTGCAGATGATCGAAGAATAAAAAGGACAAGGACCTCTCGAGTCTTCTTCTGTCCCCCAAAAGATCATCGCTGTGTTTAACGGTGTCTCCGTGCTGATCGACAAACTCGCCTCCAGAGCAAGACATTTCTTGCGCACCTCAAATAAACCACCCCCCGCGATATTCTTTCACGACTTCATATGTTGACCTCTGTTAACTCGGCTTCCTTCAACAACTACAAACCGGCACATTGGTACATGTGCCGTATCAGTTCTTAAGAACACCAGCGAGCGACTTTGAGTCTTTGCGCTTGCTGCACCCGGAGACGATAGAAAGACTTCATCTGAAGAGAGATTATTCAATTCTTACTCAGTGATTCATTACTTTTGCGATTGGTTTACGATGTATGTTACGACAGCGGCGCAATCAATTGCGCTACCAGAATGCGATCGCTAATTAAAGATAGATACCCCTCGAATAAACCAACATCATGTCGGCTACCCAACCCATCGCCGTCAACACCCCCGAGAACCCCTCCTCTGAGGGCGACTCCAAGGGCCCAACTGCCAACGCTACCCAGGCGTCCATTGCCACGAACGAAGATGCCGCCGTCAGCCAGGGCATCCACACCCTCGAAGTCAAGTCCGTCCATTGGTACAGCTACTTGACCACCCTCGACTTCTGGATCGTCCTCGCGCTGGGCCAAGTTCTTGCGCTGTGCATCACGGCCACCAACACCTTCACCAGCTTCCTCGCCAATGCGGGCACCAACATTCCCGCGTTCCAGACCGTCTTCAACTACATCCTCATGTTCCTCATCTACACGCCTATTTTCCTGTGGAAGGATGGCATCAAGGGCTGGTGGCGCGTTGGAGTGAAGGATGGGTGGAAGTACCTCATCATGGCGTTCTTGGACGTCGAGGGAAACTACTTTACTGTTCTGGCCTACCGATACACGAACGTCTTGTCAGCGCAGCTCATTAACTTTTGGGCTATTGTCTGCGTTGTTGTAATTTCGTTCTTCCTCCTCAAGGTTCGCTACAGAATCTTCCAGATCATTGGTATCGTGGTCTGCTGTGGTGGTATGGGTATTCTCATTGCCAGTGACCACATCAGCGGTACCAATGGCGGTAGTGGTCTTGATATGGTCAAGGGTGACTTGTTCGCTCTGCTCGGTGCCACTCTTTACGGTACTACCAACGTATTCGAGGAGTGGCTCGTGTCCAGGGCTCACTTGTACCACGTCCTGTCTTTCCTGGGCCTGTTTGGTATGTGTATCAACGGTGTCCAGGCTGCCATCTTTGACCGAAACTCTTTCGATAACGCAACCTGGAACGGTAAGGTTATCGGCTGGATCATCGGTTACACTCTGTGCTTGAACATCTTCTACATCCTTGTACCCGTCATGCTCCGCATGGGAAGCGCGGCTTTCCTCAACATCTCCTTGTTGACTGCCAACTTCTGGGGTGTCATCATCGGAATTCGGGTCTTTGGTTACACCATCCACTTCCTGTACCCCATTGCCTTTGTTCTTATCATCATTGGTCAGCTCGTGTACTTTGTTACCGGTAGCATGCTCAGTGACTCTAAGAAGCCTTGGTTGGGTGATAACCAGGAGGATGGTGTTTTGGGTTTCGGAACTGCCAAGCTCAAGGCTCTCAACGCTGCGCGTAAGGCTCAGATTGAGGCTGAGGCTGGGCAGCGAGATACCTACCATTAAGCCGAAGAATGTTTTGGGCAGAAGGTATGAAGTATCGATATGGTGTTCAGTCTGAGATTGCATTCTTGGATAGATACCTGGTGTAGTTAGCTGAATAGTAGATATTGGAGATTATGTCTGCAGTTGAAAGACGAACAGTTTATATAAATAATGCATAATCTCATCTAAATCAACAGACTCTGGGAACAAAATATAGGATCTTGTCATTAATACTGACTACCAAGATGCTTGTAGAGCTACTTACCTAACCCCTCCAAATGTATGTTAGCCTTAGAAGGCTTGTTTGCCGCCTAAACAAATCTGTTTCCCCTGACCTATTGTTGGGGATCAAAACCAGGTAATTGTGTCATTCCATCTTGAAGAGTCACCTTTATCCTAGGGGACGGAATACACAGGTAAGTTTATTGTATCTCAGCAAGACTTAAGACAAGTCAATGTTGGCACCCTTGATGAATGAGGAGGCAGCGAACAATGCTCTCATCTTAGCTGCTGGCTTAATAGTTGGCAGTGCCAGCCAGCTCCATTTTGCTTGACAGTGACTCAGCCTGGTAAAATAATATCCCATACCTACAAACCATAAACCTGAGATGATCTTCATTTCCTTCCTCTCATCAACATCACAAGGCTCGAAAGGGGACTTTACAGCATGAAGTCGATCACCTACGATATAGACCCAGGCGGTGATATCGAGCTCATACTCAAAAAGCCGAACGAGCAAAATATAGTGCCAGAGAACACTACTCAAACTCTCGGTGGAAAGCGCTTTAATCCGAAGTTCCCCAATCCACCATGCTTCGGTCGGTATCAAGTCTTTAGCGAGCTCTATCCTGATGGCGAGAACGAGACCCCTGACGTCCAAGTGGACATCCACATGCGAGTGTCTTCCCGACATCTGATTCTTTCGTCACGCATATTCCGAGCTATGCTCGAAGGGCCCTGGAAAGAGGGAACCCCGTCTTCTGGACCTATTCGACAAATATCAGCTGAGGACTGGGACGCCGTCGCTCTCGCCATAGTCTTGGACGCCATCCATTGCCGCCATCACGATATCCCAACAAAGATCGAGATTGGACTCCTGGCTAGAATTGCAACTATTGTTGACTATTACCAATGTCGCGAGGCTATGCGTTTCCATTACGAGGCGTGGGCCCACCATGAAGCAGAACATTCATGGCATTATAACGCAAACGTGTTGCCGTTGTATGTCTCTTGGGTATTTCATGATGAGAATGAATTCCAAATAGTGGCAAGTTCCGTTCTACGTCGTAGCACAGGAATGTCCGGATTCAATACTCATGAGCTTCCTGTCAGCGGTATCCTCAGTAGGTCCCTCCACAACTCGAGTCCTCGTATTATGGCTGATCTAATATCCCTTGGCAGCTAAGCTCGATGACATCAGACAGACCATGATGAAGAAAGCCTTAGATGCTCTTGACTTTCTCCAAGAACAACTGACCGAAGAAGAAGGTTGCAAAATAGGGAATGACGCTAGCTGTACTGCCCTCAATCTCGGTATATTGATCCGAGAAAAGCGTCTACTGGCACGCTGTAATCCACCTCTTGTTGCTCCATATGACGGACATAGTCTAGGCGGGATCCTAGATATGATCGCGTGTTTTGATCTTCCAGTGATCCCACACTCTGTTGATACCTATGTCGACAAAATCGACTACGACGACGCAAGCGACGACGACGACGAGTATTACCCCTGCACCTTACAGGGAAGAGTGAAGCCAGCCTTAGAAGAGATACGCCTTGCGGTACATAGCATCCGTCTGGATGATTTCCAACCTAAATCTACCAGGCACGAGAACTTTTAGTGATGGCTGATTACCATCGACATATTTCCCTCTGGCAGGGGTACGCAGGAAACACAAGAGAGATCGGTGATTGGCAAAGAACGACGAGATAGAACCTGGAAGCTTTCAAGACTTTAGTACAAAGACCTAGATGGTATTGGGACATCTTAGGATGATTTCAGATGGTTTAAGACAATTTAAGATAAAATCAGCTTTCTTTTGCCAAGTTTGTCTTCTTACCCCTCTAGCACTACCATTCAGTTAACCACACAATCCCAGATTGCACACCACAAACAAGGAGAAAACGGCGATCGGTAAAGATGGTGAGTAAAGCTCATGATGAGTCGCTAGGCACATTCCTAAATCTAAACCTGAGCGCTATGAAAAAGCAGTAAAGTGATCAAAAGAGGCCAAGACATTGGGAACACAAGATATCCTCTTGTTCGGATTTCAACCCAAAACCAACCAATCCCATGGTTTCCAGCCTTAATAACCTCAAACATTGTAATCCAGATCAAGAGTCCAGGAATTCATCTTAGTCTTGACATCTCCAAGGACATGTCTCATTCTACCCCTGACACTGCAAACCGACACATCGTGATAGTGGTCATACTCCTCGGTCGTAGCAGCAATCGACTCAGGTATGTCGTTAACGAGTTGGATCATGCTCATGATGCTGTAACCGTTGAAAGGGGCCACAAGACGGCGATCACTTGATCCGAGACGGTCCAGTTCTCGCACCAAAATGCTCAGCGCGATAGAGTCGCACGTCGGAGAACCGAACTTGTGCCAGTCACAGGAATAGTCTGAGTCGGGAAGAGTGTCGTGAAGGTAATAAAGTTTTCTCACGATCTGGTTGAGGAGCTCCAGTCGTTTTTCTTCAATCTTGGCTAATATCTTGTTATTGGGCTTGATCCAAGTGTGCAGGAGGAAACGGTCACTAACGTAGAACTCCATGGAGTGGAAGATTATCAGCATTCAGCTGCTGGCCGTCCATGTGCTTGAGGATACCCTGAGCCGCTCTGTCAAATACTTCTTGGTTGGGGAGGACCCAAGAGACAGATAGCCACAGGAGAGTCTGATGAGAGTACTCATCATCAAACTCGGTAGACATGTTCTTATACCACATTTCGGAAAAGATCTTGACGACCTCATGGCATTCATAGAAATCGACTATGGTAGCGATATGAGTCATGAGCCTGAGATCAACGAAACGAGGCACATGCCCATGTCGGCCGTGGATGATATCAAACAAGGGCCACTGCATCCCAGTCCTCGGCTGTGACTTGACATAGAGGTTCTCCGAAATGGAAAGAAGTTGACAATGTCTCGGCCCAGAGACCCTGAGTTAGGGTGCAAAAACCCAAGCAGAAGCAAACCGCACTGCAAACAGATGGAACAAACACAGGCAAAGGAACGAATTTCAAACAGATTCACGATAAAACATGTGGTCAGTTAAGTGTAGCTTGTGGGTTAAGACAAATCTGAGGTCAGCTAACTTATGGAATCAGGGGCAAAGTTTTCATGAGATGTCCTGAGACTTTAGGAACAAGAAGACCAAAGTCATAAAGTCTTGAGCAAATCACCGAGTCTGGGCAAATGTGAATCAAGAAGTTACATGACAAACACATAAAGGAAAGCTAGCAAATTTTGGCTCCAATACCTAGGTCCAGGTACCACTCAACTCAGCTTCTTTCAATCTTCCATGTCCGCAAATGATTCATTCTTCTGCAAACCAGTTTGCTGCACAAACGTAGTCCCAGACTCCTAGTCATTATTCTTCTATCGCAATCCCCAGCCCTGAATCTCTGGAAGCTCAAAACTCATGTTATCCTCCATGACTTCTTCCACCAGTGCCTTCATCCGACCCTGAATAGTGCACGAGCAATGCAAATAATCTGCGTTGACTTCGACGGAGCGGCTTCTTCCATAATCATTATAAGGTGGATGATATGAGGGTCGGGGAATGCCTTCGATGAAGCCCAGCATCGTATTAACGCTGTGCCCACAGTAGGGAGCCGTGAGAGGTCCGTAATCGTTCTGCCATCCGAATCCCTCTTGCATCAACGTGTCAAACAAAATGGATGGACAGTTGAGTTCGCCCCGATCGGGGCACTCATTCTCCGTGCGCAGTGATTCTAGTAGGTCGTCGAGACCTTTTAAGACCTTCCCGATAAGCTCCGTTCTCGTTTTGTCCACGAGCTCTGAAGCTCAGCGTTAGCATATTGAACTTGATGTCGCCTGGCGTAAGCTTACCGAGAATTCCTCCAACTGGGAGGTCATTCAGCTGAAATTCTGAAAGTCCCTTGCTGAGTTTCAAAGCTCGTCTTGCCTCGGTCGAGAAAATATCGTCGTTCTTGAAGACCCACGCAACATATAGCCGCAGCAATGAATTGTCGGTGTAAAGCCAGAAGTCCTCCTCTAAAACAGACTCATCGCTGAGCCACACATCGCTAAGCAGCTCTAAGCTCTCGTAGCATTGGTAGTAGTCGACGATGGTGGCGATACGAGCCAACAGAACGAGGTTGATATACCTAGGGATCTTTTGAACACGCCCGTGAATGGCATCGAGGACAATAGCAAAGGCTTTGGCATCCCAGGCAGAAGTCGAAATTTGGCGAGTACTTTGCTGGGAGGATAGTGAAGAGGTTGCCTCAGCCCACGGGCCTTGGAGCATAGCACTGAAGACTTTAGAAGCAAAGGTAAGGTGCTTTGAGGAAACTCGTATTCGTACAACGTCGGGAATCTCTTCTGCGAACTTCACGCCGAAGCCAATCATTGGAGTATCGAAGTCAAAGACTTCGTAACGTCCTCGGAGTGGTACGTTGAAGCGATCAAGGAAGCGTAAGTCGCTGGCGGCATCTCCATCTCCTGGCAAGACTCTGTCGGGAATGATTTTCTGGGTATTCGGCTCGTTGAGCACGAGCTCGATGTCGCCATCAGGATCTATCACGTATGAAATGGACTTCATGATTATGCCCGGGGCGAGGGGCGAAGGAAGGAAAGGAGGAGCTTGAAGGGCGAGGAAAGAGATGACGGAGAAGAGAGAGAGAGGAGACTCGTTGGGAAGAAAAAAAAAAGGAAAACTCGTGTGGGCGAGCGTTGGAGATGGGACGAAATGGCTGCAGCGCAGCCATTCACTGACAGCTGAAAGCTCTCACAGGCTAGCACAACAAGAAAATGCATGCCAGATAAATTGCTTCGACCATACAAGAGACAGATATTTCACGTACATCAAGTTCAGTAGTGCTGGTATTCAGTTGATAGCAAAGTCGCCCAGTTGTAACTGCAAACTTATTATCGACACAAAAGAGATAGTCAGTCAAGCACAGATTATTCACTTAGATAAACAAGATATCAAAGAAATACGATGATTAGTGGAAATCAGGGGAACTCCTTTGAGGGTTTCCAGATCACACCTTGTTTTAGGAAAAGGAGGTCTGAAGGCAGAACAAGATCATGAAGTTCAAAGCAATAGAAATAGGAGTAAAAGAGTTTACATGATTAATAAATAAATTCGCCCAAGCCCTTGTTCTACTTGGACCTCGCGTTCCAAAACATTTGCTATGCATGTCATCCCCGTTTGCATCCTCCAGGACCTCTCGAAGCAACTCAAAATACTGTCAGACAACCAGCGAAACATCGTACTCTTATCGTAAACAACTCTAGTCTTTGAAGTCTGCCGGGCACAGCTAAAGAAAATGTGGATGAACTCCTGGCATTTGTAGTATTCAGCTACGGTTGCGATGTGGGCGAAAAGCCCGAGGTTGATGACTCGAGGAATCTCTGCGTGACGTCCATGGATGGCATCAAGCACGATGGCAAGGGCGACAGCATCCCAACCGATCGTGTGGACCCTGACAAAAGGTCGACAAGGAGTAGAGGGGCAAGCAGAACATTGAGCGGAAACATCTTTTTTGTTTGAAGTGAGGAGTAGATCGCGGAATGTGCTGGACACAAGGGACAGGTGCTTCGACAAGATGCGCATACGGACTTCTCGGGACTCATGATCCTCTTCAAGCTTCTGAGTACTAGTAGCGGTCGTCGGCTTGGTGTAGAGCTCGTCGAAGACGGTGTAAGGGCCAGTTGCAGGCGGGTTGTCGAAGTCTGAATCGGGCAGATCAGTGTGAGTTGAGTAGTCATCGGAGTGGATTTTAGGGATGATTCGGTGGGAATTCGGCTCACTCAATACGAGCTCGATATCGCCGTCTGGGTCGATCAAATATGGGATGGTCTTCATGGTGACTAGATTGTTGAGGGGGCGAAGGAACGAGATGAGGAAGAAGAACGGAGCCGGGCATTAGGGAAGGGGTCTGCTTTGGACTTGGAAAAAGAGAGAACCCACCCGGGGCGGAAATCTCTAGAATTCTATCTAGGTATGCACTGGTTCTGGCTTTGATGCCTCCAGAGCTGCCCACTGCCCTTCAGTGACAACGGAACACAGGCCATTCAGTTTGGCAAAAGCAAGCATCCATACCACGGGGTCAGACAACAAAACCAAGGCAACAGAATGTAAGACGATCAGTGTCTAGTTCTTCTATCAAACTACTCATACAAAAGTGAAGCTCTCATAGTGCTGGTATTCAGATGACAACCAAAACATCTTGTCTTGTTCTAAGGGCATGTGCAATTTCCACAAAACCATCGATCTAACCAGCTTTTGAGATCTCGAAGTTCTTGATATCATCATCAATCGCCTTCAGGAGCGGCTCCATCAATGCAATGATGGTACACCTATGTGCTGTAGTAGACTGCCCACAACCCATGTATCCCCAATCCATTACACGAAAAGCAGAGATCTTCTTTGAATACTCATAGACAGAATACCCTGTGTAAGGGCTTTGTAGAGCTGGGTCAAGGAGGGGGAGACTCTTTCTTTCCCACAGCAATGATCCCAACAGCATGGAGGAACACCTGTGACCACAACCAGCACGGCCATCCAGAAGTTCATCAGTCAGCTCATTCAATCGTGTGATGATCTTGGCGATACACTCTTGTCTCTTGTTGTCGAGCGTGCCTGGAAATAATTAACATTGTGATATTACACAAGCGATGATCAAGTACTGACCGAGAATCACGTTGACGGAGTGCTCATTTGACTTGATAAGTTTCAAACCCTCCCCATGCTCGATGACAAAGGAAGCCAGCTTAGAAAAATCATCTTTCCAGCCGAAGGCCCAAGCGATGAACAGCCACAGGACACAGCGCTTCCCGTATGCGAGTGGGAAGCGGTACATTGTTTGGTGCCAGACTTCTCCAGCAAGCTGTACGGCTCTCTGGCATTAGTAGTAATCTACAATCATTACCACTTCAACAAGGAACTCGATACTAGTCACCAAGGGAAACTCATCGTTCATTCCATGGATGACTTTGAGAACCAGGAGTAGTGCCTCCGGGCTCCAGCCGTGCGCGTTGACTTCGCGGGTTGAAAGAGGCGAAGAAGAGGTGCAAGTGGCGGAGCGTGGAGGGAATCTTTCGTAGGCATCATCGTAGATCTCAGTGCAAGGCCCGAGAGATCCTAGTCCAGCCCGTGACGGTGGCGTAGAGGTTGACTCACTCCATGGGCCATTCAGCATTCGTTCGAAGTTGGGGGAAGCCAGCTTCATATGCTGAGATGAAACTCTGAAGTGTACTTCAACAGGCTCTTTGTCTGACCCTGATTATGAGTTCACGATGTTTCTTGGAATGAAGAACTGCTTACCAGATCCTTCAACAGCTGGGAGGATAGATTTGACTTTGGGAAGGTTCAGAACATCCTTGTCGTTTTGGTAGCCATTCTTTCTAAGGACAGTTCCAGATTCTCGAATTGACACATCTAAAGTCAGATTTGCGGAGTTGGGTTCCTTGAGAACTACGACAAGATCCCCTTAAGGATCGACGTCGTGTGTGAGGACGACCATGGCTAGGTTTAGGTTTGACGATGAGGAGAGAAACTTGAAATAAAGAAGCGAGTTCTGGATGAAGGAGAGGAGAAAAATCAAAGTAAAAAGAATCTAGGGTCCTGATGAAGGCTAGGTGGCTCAGTGAAGAAGAGCTCCAAGGGCGTGAAACGTGCAAGTGCTAGACACTGTTAGATAAAATGCACTTAAGTAAAGCATTAATATGAATCTATACCTCCGAGTAGAAATATACATAGTCAGGGAATGAGGTTGATATCCAAGGAAACCAATGATCTAGGTAAGACTTTGCAAGACAGTTGCTGGCCTTTTCTTGACTTTCTATATTGGAGGATTAGTAGTTATGTTGGGTGAAAGCAAACATGCATAAGAACTTACAGCTTGCTTGTGATGAAAGAAGAGAATGGAGGAGCATGTAGAGTCTAGACACCCAGAGAACCACTCGGTGTTTTAAACTTGGCTGAAGTCACCAGTGAACGCAGGATGAGGAATTCGGTGCATCTGAAAGCAGATTCTATACTTCATACATACAGGACTCATACTCGGGCTTTCGTTTTACCAAGACCTCTGATCGCAGTTCATCCTTTCGTGTACCTTTCCTCTAGCCCACCAAAGATATCCATGCGTCACTAATTGCCAGAGTACTAAGAACTTCTCAGACCCTCTTAGCTTGAAAGTCAGTGATCTTGATCCTGCCGAACGCTTCGACGATATGATCGAAAGTTGGCCTGATCAGCAAATCGAGACTGCAACGAGGATGGCCTCGTTTGCTTTCAGAAGAGTCGCGACAATCAGGTGAATCAATATCCTCCCAGAAGGTATCAATCTCCATCATAGGCACCCCAGAGTATGGTGGGCCAGAAATCCCAAACTTCTTCTGCATCCGGTCCTCAGCAGCATCAAGTGCACCGAGTAGCATACATGTGCATTTACTATTGCAGCGCACAAGGTCTTCCCGAAGATTAGCCCGCAGTGAAACCAGCTTGGCTGTGAAAAGATCAAAAGACCACTGTCTCTTCTTCTCCAGCTTTTCTAGTGTCATTGTTAGTAAAACCCCAGCGTCTTGTTTATATGACTCCACATACTAAGAAGCTCAGCAACGGGGAGGTCATGGGTGTCAACAAGATCCATGCCTTGACTGCTACGCGCCCATATGTAACATCTTCTGGAGAACTCAGACTCCCAAGAAAAAACCCAGGTAATCCATAACCACATGATCGGCGTTCTTCCTTGAAGCAACACCCTGCCGGACGAGCGAAATGGGGGCTCCCAAAGCTTCGCAAAAGGAGCCACGGCTTCAGCGCACTCATAATAGTCGACAATGACAGCCACGTCGGTAAAGAAGCTGAGACTGACGGCTTCTGGCACGAGGTAGTTGAAACCATGTATGATTCTGAGTACTGTGAGGAAGGCATGTACATTCCAACCTTCTGTCGAGATCTCACGCAGGGCGGAGACTTTGGGGACTTCTTCTGATGTCTCTGTGAAAGCTTCGACCTTACTCGGAGTCTTGTCGGTAGGTGTCGCCTCGACGAGGGTCGCTCCAGCTGGTGCTGATTCCTTCCAGGACCCATTGAGCATAGTTCTGAAGAATGGAGAGGCGAGGGTCAAATGACGAGAAGAGACTCGAAATCGATACTCCAAGGTATCCATTTCTATTCCGTCATATTAGTTTCTGATCTTACTTGTGATGGTATTCTGACCTTTGACACTGAGGAGCTCGAGCCCAGATGATGTCTCGGGGAGGTTCACATCAGTACTATCCAGCGAGGCCTCAGGAGGAGCATGATTAGAACAGTGGACGGTGACGCTTGGAATAGTACGCGCTGTGTTGGCTTTCTTCAGGACAGCATAAAGATCTCCATCAGGGACGATGTCGTGGGTAAAGACCGCCATGATGCTGTGGTGTTGCCGGAGGGAGAGAAGCCCGCGATGAGGGAGAGGCTTCTGATGGAGGAGAAAGAGGAAGAGAAAAAAAGGAAGAAGGGCAGAGAAAAACTTTCCAAAGGCAGTTCCAGTCTGAGAGAGTGTTTGTGTCAGGTGTCAGGGTGGAAGTCTACGTCTGCCCGACACTGTCAAAACAAATGCGCCAAAGATAAGGGATACTTCATCTGGAGAGGAACGACTGGATCAAGAACAACGAGACACTACCTCACCGCAAATCTCCAACGTATACTACCAAACTCAAGCAAGATGCTCATATTATCAGGACTGAAAGTAGGTCAACTCAATATCCTCGATTTCCTCCTCCACTCTCTTGATGACCGGCCTCAGCCTTGCATACACAGTACAGTTCTGGCCATGGTTCGGATCAGGACACGCAGCTTTCATCCGAGGAAAGTCATCCAGCACTTCCATTGCTCTCCGTATACTGAGCCCGTTATACGGTTCCTCAACAGTAAAAAAGTTTCGCTTCCCCCGTATCAACGCACCAAGTGCCATAGCAGTGCATTGCTCATACCTAGCTTCTGGACAGCCACGTTCGGTAGATAGGGTCTGCTCCAGGCTTTCGAGGGCTGTGAAAACTTTCTTAATCAGAACTATTCTCATGCCGTCGATTTTATCTAGCAGTTATTAGTCAGGTGAGCATAGTTGCGTATGCTATGGAAACCTACCAAGGACTTCAGTCAAGGGAAGATCGTACAAGATAACCGTATTAGGGCCTCGGTAATTTGAGAGGACCAATTGTGCACAATGCGAAAACTCCTTTCTCCAGGAAAACACCCACGAATTAAACATCCACAAGACGCATTTGCTGTTGAAATTAGACACTGCGGCTTCTTCTAACGTGGAGAGCCAGAATGACGATAAGAGTTGCACTGCTTCAGCGCATTCAAGATGGTGGACGACGGCAGCAACCTGCGTTAGGAACTCAAAGTTGACATTCCGGGGGACTTGTGCGTTTCGGCCGTGAATGACGTTTAACACGGTGGCCAAAGCCTTTGCATCCCAGCCCGTGAGGTATATCTCGTTGGCTTCTGCAGACTGCTGCAGTAGTGAGGACAAGATTGGCGATGCAAGAGACAGATGGTGGCTGGAAACGCGCATTCGGATCTGGACTTCCTTGTCGTTCCGCTAGGGGGGACTTGTCCCAAAGAACAAGGTGTTCAGATCCCTCATCTTGACCGAGAAGTCATCCTGTTCCCCTCCCTCTTCACCCTTCTTCACTTTCACGGGTGCTTGTTCAGTTGGGGGAATTGGTATGGCCGTGCTTAGTAAGGGGCTGGTGCATTGTGTATCTGGGTCCTGGAGAATGACCTCAATCGCGCCTTGAGGGTCGATCTCGTACGTGACGGACCTCATCGCGAACGGTAGAGAAAGAGATTGATTGGGAAAAGGTTCAGAGGAAGAGATTAGGGGAAAGATGCATATCCATTGACTGACTTATTCCCGAGACTTGGCCCCTCTTCGAATCCGGCCAATGGGCTGTCTTTTTTCTTTACTTCAGCTTGGACCGAATATGATGCTATCTTCAGTTACGAAACTTCATATATTCCATAGCTTCAATATGTTGTATCTTGACATGTTTTCTATATGGCAGATTAGACCTTGGCTTGATAGAGATGTACCTAGTTGGAGTGTTGGCTTCATGAATGTCGTAAACCGATATGAGATACAGTGACCTAAGGGAGGAAAGAAAGCTCAGGACCTTAACCCTAAGTAATTAAAATCTTTAGGTAAATTTAGACTAAGCTTAGGGGAGTCTATATTTAGTTTATTTTGATATCTTAAATTAAGGTTTAGTGTTTTCTTGCTGCCCGAGGAGTGACCAATATGGATAGCATGAATTAACTCTTGTTGTGATTATTGGGCTTTTCCAATTTCTCAAAAGAGGCTTTCTATTTACTGGCCTCGGACCGAATTCGATAACATAAACCTTGCTTTCAGTCTCGGGATTCTCGTAGCTACCTCGGCGTTGTAGGTCTGAAGGAACAAACTTTACGTACGCCAAGTTACCTATTTATTAAGGACTTCACCCCCCCAATCTTGGATCGTCTTTCTCTCTTCTTCATCATCATCAACACTTCCATCACAAGAAACATCACCATCTGCGTCTTCATCACATCTCTTGCTTCACCTTCAGTCTGTCAACCCATCGTCACCCACCAACTAACTGACGGCTTACAACCAATCCAGAGAAACTACCTAGACTACCAACCCATCTTCGCCCGCCAATATGGGTACGCCATCATCCAACGACCAGTCTCAGAAGCCCCCAAGTCCTGTCACTCAGGTCAAGTCCACGCCTGATCATATGGAGACTCTCACGGACCAGGAACGCGATATCTTGTTCTTGAAGTCCATGGCGGAGCAACAACTCAGAAGACAACAGAGTGCTTCAGTACGTACTCTTACTTGGGACGAGTTCATGGAAGAATTGCTTAACGTTCGTCGAAAAATCTTATCAATGGCATATGTGATACTAACTTGCCCAAGAAGCTATCGGAGCCCAAGAGGCTATCGGAACCCGATATTCAGAGCCGACTATAGGCGTCGAAAACACGAATAACTTCTACCTTCTACGTTGCCCTCTCTCAGCTCCTGGGTTCCTATTCACTGTCGCCGGCCTTGAGTCCTCGTTTTCTTGCAAAGTAGTTAAGGGCCGTGGCTTAGAGCTTATAGCTACTGAACAGAAGTTAATAATGCCACCCAAGTTCTACAACAGTTGCGCTTTGCTGGCCATTACAATTTAGTTGATACAGTGCAGGATATCTCGTGACATATTGGTCGTCGGGTGACGGACAGAGTGTGCCTGACCCTTGGGGTGATGCTTCCTATACTCCCAAAGTTCAGCATAGCCCCAAACAAAAGCGCCGACGTCCTCCTTGACCGATTCGATGTTCTTGCGCATTTCCCCCTAACGGTACACGGGTACGGAAGAGAAAATACGATGGAACTTTGTGTTAAAATTGATCATACGAAATCTATACTAATAAACCAACGCCTACGTACCAGTAACCTTGATCGTAGAAGCCACACTCGGCACTCCATTCTTATCCATGACAAACAACATCCAATATCCCGGCAGCGTAACACCAGGATCACTAGGCACCTGGAACGTATACGAATTCTTCCCCGCGTTAGCCAACGTCAACGGAATACGGCGCTGATCCGTGTTAACAGTGTGCGTAGCCGTTCCGTACCGCACCAGCGAAGCCTGCACGATAGCTCCGCCCGTTTGAACAGTGACTGTTCCTCCGACCTTAATGGAAGATACAGACACGGAGGTGATCTTGGGGCGTGTGGCTAACTTGCCCTTTGCGTCGTAGAGATAGGGGGGAGTGTAGAGCTGAGCGTCAAAGTGGTTGGTGTCACATCCGCCGCAGAGACCACCGCCGCCGTTGAAGACTCTCCCGTCCGGGAGGAGGAGGGCGATGCTGTGATATACCCTCACGATGTTGTTGGGCTTCATGAGCTCAAAGCCGTCTCTTTCGGGATAGTACATCTCCGGTTGCAGCTGGGGCGTTGAGTCTTCAAACGGGATGGCGTATTGCTGACCGCCCGTGATGAAGACGTTGCCGTTGGGTAGAACAACAGAACTGTGGAAGACACGAGGGAAGAAGAGACCCTCACTCGCGTAAGCAACAGAAGCGTTTGTACCAGGATTTCCGACAGTGATGATGTGGGCATCGGTAGTAGCATCCGAGTCTTGATAATTCGGAGTTCCACCGTGTGTCAGGATCTTGCCTTTGACAGCGTCAAACATGATGGCGTTGCCGCACATGGCATCAGGCGCAACACCACGATCAGAGGCCCTCTGCCCCGCTGTCTTGACATCGCCATTCTTCTTCTCAGTGTAGTACCAGTTCATGTTCTTACTCGGCCCAGCCTGGAACACAGTACCGCTCTTCCAACCAAACAGCCAGGCGTGGTTATCAGAGCGGAACAAGCCCTGCGCATCATCCGTGAGCATCTTCTGGACATCAGCTTTATTAAGCAGCGTCCAGGTCTTCTTCTTGGGGTCGTACACCTCGCCGTTCTTGAAGGACGAGCCGCCGCTCCATGATCCCCCGATGGTGAAGACCTTGCCTGTGGATGTCGTGGCGGAGGATTGATACCCGCGTGCGACTTGCATGTTGGGCCCTGATACCCACGTCTGCTGCACGGGATCGAAGAGGCTTGTGCGCTCAGCGTTGTTTCCGCCCGTAACGACGAGCTGGCCGTTCCCATCCAGCGAAATGCCGGGGCAGAACATGTCGTGGTTTGTCTCTGTGACTTGCCGCTCTGCGACTTGGCCTGTTGCTGGGTCCCATGTTGAAGTGAGGGTTAAGCCACCGGGGCCACCGGACATGGTATCTCTAGCCCAGGATGACCAGACGAGGACTTTGCCCGTGGTGGGATCAACGGTTCCAGCGACGGGGATGATGGGGAAGTTGATGGTAGGTCCCCAAGCGCCTTGAGATGCTTGAGGGGGGATGTAGTCGTTTGCTTGGAAGACATTGAGTTCTGCAATGCTTGTCCAAGGATTGCCATTTGCTTCAGTGAGAGCAACGAGCTTGACGAATCGTGCAGGCTGTGTATCGAAATTGGCATACTTAACAGTCCAGTCATTATACCAATTCCCATACGCCACAGGCGAGCCCCAATTCTTGCCATCCTTGCTCAGAAAAACCTGATGTTGTGCAATATACCCATTCTGCGAGCCATCCTGTCTCGGCAACATAGAAATACCATTGACGTTATAGCTCTTCTTCATATCAATAGTGATACTATGCGGCGGCGCAGGCTCACTGCCTTCCCACTGTGTATGCCACATGGTATCGCCGTTGCCGTCTATAGCATTCTTTCAGTCATCCCCCTCATGCACGCTATCACACGTCACTGACCACTTTTTGCGGTCGATCGCGGCGCTGTTGAAGGGCGCGGCTGCACGGAGACTCAGTACGTTTTCTTTTGCATCTCTCTTGAGCAGGGAGGAGGAGGAGGAAATGGGACGGACCTTTTCTGCGTTGAGTTGGGGACGGGGCTTCACGCGAGAGCTGAACTTGTTGTTGAGGGTGCTGGCTTTGGGGGGGATGGCTTGGATGTAGCCCTTGTTGAGCTTGGGGACGTCGAAGGACGGATTGTAGCCGGGGCCGTTTTTGCCGCCGCCTTTGGTGCTGTCTGCATCGAAAGTCTTGCCGGATTGATGGGTGATGAAGGATTTCTTGGAGGCCTTGGACTTGGACTTCTTTGATCCCTTCTTGGAGTTGGTCTTGGAGTCCTCAGTCTTGCCAGCATCGTCATGGCCAGAGTGCTTGCCGGAGCTTCCCTTCTTGGAGGCTGCAGTAGCAGTTGGTGATGCTGATGATCGAGTCTTGGAGTCATCAACCATGGAGCGAGACTTGGTAGCATCGTCATCACCATGATGTCTTCCGTCGTCTTTGCTCTTCCCCTTTCCTTTCCCCTTGCCTTTACCCTTGTCATCACCCGTAGGCGAGCTCGTGGGGGCTGCAGTGCTTGTAGCAGTAACAGAAACTGAATCTGTGGCACTGCTGGAAGATGTCTTTGGTGAATCTTCAGGCTTCTTGCGAGACTTTGTAGCATCGTCATCGCCATTATGTCGTCCCTTGTCATCTTTTCCCTTGTTCTTATCCTTGCCCTTTTGCTTGTGTCCGCCAGAGCTGGAGTCATCGTCTCCTCCATGCTTGGCTACACTCGCACTATCTTTAGACTTTGATTTGGCTTTGGGAGCAACTTCTGGCTTGTCGACAGGAGCTGGGCCGAAGCGGACATAAGTGGGTTGCATGAATGGCTCGGCATACACCACTTGTTGAATCTCGTCTGAAGAGCCTGAGGGCGTGTCATCAGATGGACTTGATGGAGTAGCATCAGATGGCTCCGTAGGCGTATAGTCAGAGTCATCTGTAGACTCATCAGAGCCATAAGTCTGCTCAATTCGCTCAACTCTTCGCGACAAAGCAGAAGCTGGAAATCCACTCTTTGGCTTTGCATTTCCAAATACGGGGAGCACAGAATTCAAATTAGTCTTTGATGATCCAGCCGCAGGCTTTGAAGTATCCGTTGTGTCATCTGAATCAGGTCGAGGAAGTGCATAGCCACCCTTGGGAGCTGAAAACACAGGCAACACCACAGCATCAGCGACGCCCAGACATAACGTCAAGGCATAAACAGCCTTCATTTTGTGTGATGTTTTAATGAAAAGGAGTGGACGAGTTTGTGACAATGACTTGTCTAGGTGGGAATTTTGTCAAACGGAGGGAACAAAGAGCAGAACAAGAGAACTTACAACGACATAGTCAAAACATTTTATAAAAGAAGCCTCACGTACGAGGTCAAATTGTATTAGTGAAGCTATACTAAATGCAGGGACGTGTAGAACCGTCGGGACCTTGCAGGAGGCTAAACCTTGCCAAGAACGTGGTGGTTCCAGGAACCGGGAGGAATGTTGGTGTCTCCATTCTCACGGCCTGGACCCTTGCATATCATTCCTATCTCAGAATGACTTAAACCATGATCGGCAAGGGTCTCGGGCGAGGAAAGCTTAATTATATGCTTGGGACCCCATGTTATTTAATTGTTTTAGCTTTATCCATGTTCTCGGTCTCGTCTTCATAGGTCTATCCGAATACTACAACGCTTTTGTATAGTTTGCTGTCTAGAGCTTCTAGACGCCAGGTCGGCCGGCGGGCTTGACTACTCAAGCTTCAAGTGGTCTTAGTTGCATTCTTCAGTATTGGCTTGTGACAGTTGGAATGAGGTGGATTACTCTGTCGCGAAGGATCCAAACCGCTGGTAAAGTGATCTACAGGTGTCTCCCGCCTCTTGTATACTGTTTTATCCAACGATGATCGTCCAATTTAGACCAACAATGGTTTATTCTATTCCCATGTCAGCATACAGGGTCCAACGGTGATACCGAATAATCGGTATGATGGGCAATGGCTTCGTTCCGTGCATGTTCCTGATGTTGGGGGAACAGGTGGAAAGCTTGAATGCCGGCTGCCGAATGCGCATAACTATGTCTACCAATCCTGTTTTCGTGCCATGATTTCATCTTCAAGTCTACTATTCTCTTTCAGCTATTGGGTGCTCAAGATCCCAGCTGTTCTGCTGAATCACATGGACATGCAACCATCACTCCTCTTGCTATCCAGAACCACATCTCCATATTGTTAGAGCTCGAGCTCCAGTCAAAGGATAAACCCAACTAAAACCAGTTTACCTCTTAGCAGATTCGCTAACGACCACCTCTAAGTGGACAACATCGTCGAACGAAGGCATTAGACGTCTACTAGTTCGCACAAGCAGATGACAGGTTCACTTTAGCCCCGGGACTAGCCATCAGCTAACACGCTTCCATCAGCTCGACAGCTACTACTCCAAATCCGACGGACTAGGTGTCCGAGCGTTGGTAGGACCAACACTGGGCTTGATACCGTCTTGCTGGTTTGGGAGCTACGGGATATAACACAACGAGAACACGCGCGCGCTATGGGGAACCCAGTTCAAGTGAAGGGGACGTGCATAAGTGCTTAACGCAATAGTATTTGCGAGGTGCTTTGAAGCTGCATCAGAAGTAGAGGCAGTTTTTTATTGAGAGTCATGCTCGAGGGTTCAGCTTCTCTTCCATGAATCGTGAAAGCCACCAGGTGGTTCTTGGCAGTCCTGTTAGAATAAGCCACAGCGGAAGATAATACATTATTATAGCATTCCAGGCTTGAGTGCGTTACTCAAGGTGATTACACTGGGGTTTTACTCTGTTACAGCCCTCTCGACGATTTCCCTCCATCAGTGAAGTACCATCATAGGAATTGCAGATACAATCTTGAACATTGACTTGAGGCAGTGACCATTCATATCCGCCAAAACACATTTCCGCTATCGAGACATATCTAATGTACGCTCTATCCACCCTACTCTGGCTGAAGGAACCGTGAGGTCTACGGGTCAGCCTCCTTTTCCACTGACTCGCCCTCACCCTTGGCATAAGGCTGTAAGCCACAAACTTCAACGCTATTATCGTCCTTCTGGACAATGAAAGTAACTACATCACTTCGAATGACTAAGTTGGTATGCATATTCATACATGGAACACGTTCGGAGCTTTCATTAAACCCCGAAGCTAACATCGATCTCTCCACAAGCCTATCTTGCCAAGAGTCTTCAAACTCCACCAACATTCAGTCTCATACCATATGCTACCAATCTCTGATCCTTTCACAACTCTCTATGACTTATTCAATGCCATCAATGCACTCGCACTTATTATGCTCACACTCACACATGTCCTCATCCGTGTCTTCCCACGCACTCTCATCCTCATCCTCGTCCTCGTCCTCGTCTTCCCACTTCTCGTCGCCAGAAACCTCCAACCCTGTTCTCTCATAATATCTTTCACCTGAATAGCCGCCATCTTACACTCATCATCAACTTCATACCTGTACCCGTACATAGTCATAAACCCCTTGGCATCACCCCACACTTGATTCACAAAACCGTTCTGGGCGAAGGAAAACCCCCGGCCGCATTTCAACGCTTCAGGGAATCTCTTATGAGTGTCAAAGTGATCCTGGAACGGGTTCTTCAACCACTGCGTGCGGTACTTTCCTCTCAAAATCGTGGCAATTTTACGAGTTCTGAGACTCCCAGCACCCGCGGGGTTTTCCTTGTCATGATGAATTATAGCCCTCTCGACCTCTTCGTCGAAATGTATGCCCTCGTTCCTGAGCCTCTGTAACTCTTCCTCCGACCAGGGCTTTTTCCCAATGTTAACAGAAGGGATACGAGTTGACCTGTACCTCTCGAAGCGACATCTCTCGTCGGTTGGCCATTTGGCCTGTATGTCGTGTTTGAAGTATGGTAAGTCGAGTCTGATGCGCGTGGGGAATGCTGATCTCTCCTTTAGCTCTCGACCCGATGGAGGGCCCCATATTCTGACTTCGATTTGCTGCATGGTGTTCCTGTTATGTCGGAAGTGTGCGACCTGGAATCCCTTATTGTCACGTATCTCGCCTTCGCTCTTAACACTACCGGGGCCAACTCTGGCCACGTAGCCATCCTGTGAGATATTCCCGCCGATGACATTGCAGATGTAGTTTGGCGCAAAGACGACGTTCTTTAGTACCAGCTCGCTCATATTCTTGTTGCCTTTTGTGTTGGGTCTTTTGTTGGGGGAGCGCTTGGTCTTGAGTATGACGGTACCGACACCATGAGCCCAAGTGTAGTGCTCCGGGTTAAGTTCCAATCCATGGTTTGTAAACTTTTCTGCATTGCTCCATGGCTCATCCCGTGTATGGTACACGATGGTGCTGAAAGCTAAGTAATCATCCTCAAACCATTCCCTGTCCCTGGAGATGCTAGAATGATCAGCAGCTACTTACCCTATTCTTCGCTGGATCGCACTCACTGAACATTTGACTCGGGTGAGTATACCCAGGAGGATTAGATTTTATCATTTCCATGTGTTGACTTTCGATGACATGACTGGAAACGTTTGATGCGTTAATAATAGTCCATATTGATTGATGTGATGAGTAAATTTGTGAGATGAATGAGGAGAAAGTCGAAAAGTTCAGGGCATGGACAGTGAATAAAACCAGCCACAGACGCAAGAGTAAGGAATTGGAGACGTAAGAAGAGTACGGTGCGTGCTGATCATGGCGCTAAAGCACAGCATCACTATGAGACAAGTTATGGATTATGTCATAGCACAAGCAAAAGTAAGAGGTATGGCGCGCATGTAAATAATATGAAACAAGTTTATTCAACGCCAAATAAACCATGATCGATCAGTATATGCAACAATGTCAAATATACAACATTTCAACTCCTCAAGCGCCAGAGGGTATCAGCGAGCCATGCCATGCCAAGTCACTCGGGCGCCAAACCACAATATATATCATATCCATCCAAATATCGCTCGCTATAATATGTAGATGTTCCAAAATTGCGTATGCAAACGTATAAATGTCATGTAGATCTTTTGCATCATTTACTTGAAGGATCACCACCTTTCAGTAGTCCAACCTGTCTGTCATGTTCACTCCGCAACTGCTTTTCGCCAGTCGGCACAAGAGTTTTCTCTTCAAGGCCCGCATCAAACGCGGGATCACCGGCGCGGAACTTTTCGCGAATGCCTTCTATGCCTGTTGGGCCTATTGGTAACGGTGACTCGGAAGCTCGGATGGCGTCTTCTGGCCAAAGAATTCGGTTTGCTTCCTCGACTGTGAGAGGAGGTTCGTCGATTGTGGTTATCGGTGGTGGTGCCGTGGTCGGAGGCGGTGGTGGGTCAAATACGGCCTGCCGAGGGGTCGTCGGAGATCCGATGCCAGTGGATCTTGATGTGGGTGTCCCGGTCCGGGCCCGTGGTATCCGTGCGGGGCTGTCCGTGATCCGCGCAGGGTCTGACGATCCTTGGTAATCACGGCCCCGGGTGGTTGTGCTTGTAGTAGCAGCTGATCGAGTCACTGAAGTTGAGTAAAGACTATCACTGTCCGAGTCGGAGTCTGTGTAGTCTCCTTCTGTTTCAACGACGCTGTGAAGAGTGATGCCGTCTGCAGTATCCGCTGGCGTGCGCTTCAACACTTCCGATTCATCCCTAAGAACCTTCTCTTCATTGGTGGTAGGGCCGATTGGTATGTGGCTGCGAGTCGCTGTTCGTTTGCGATCCATGCGGAGAATGTTTCTCATCAGATACAGTTCATGCTTCTTGTAGGTCTCGTAGTATGCGCGGTTGATCATGGCTGCTGTGTGAAGATCGTCGATTTCATCCAGCTGACATAAGATGCGGAGACGAACAATCTCGGGGAACTCGGTAGCAACACTGTAGTTCGGGTCAGGTGCAGCCATCCGATCAAGGCCTTTGTTGAGCTGGGTTTGAGGTTCTCGTTCTCTGTGCTTCGAGAGTCCCCAACCGTGGCTCTTCCCACTGATGTCGAAGAGCGTCAGGCCCAGCACACTGTTGTAGATATCGCTGATAGCAGAGCGAAACATGGGCCCAGGATCACACACGCCTCGATGAATGGGTGTTGGCGGCGCGGGAATCCTTCTCAAGGCATCCATGATCTGCGCCAAACTCTTCGACTGTGGCTGTGTCCTGGGTAAGTGAGATAAAACATCAGGTGCCATAATATGAGGCAGAAGGTTCATCTCATTGTAGAGTAGCATCAGCCATCCGAGGTTCGTGGCGTCACACCAATGGCTGCCCTTGGGACATCTCGGTGTACTCGTCAGCATCGTCGGTGGTAAACTGTCCGACGAAAAGCTGGCTCGCGTATCCAGTGAAAGCTCTTCCGAACCTTCCAACGTATTGTGTGTTGGTTCCCGCATGTATTCTCGGATAGTACTAACGCAACACTCGTGGATTTGTGCCATCTTTGCGCAACGAACAGCCCAGATTTTATCCTTAATTTTCTGTGGCCAGGGTTTAGCTAATAACTCTTTCTCATCCACAAGGTTCAGAATAGTAGTCTTCGACATGCGCGAAAATAGTCGACGGAGTCCAAATGCGTAGCTGATCACCAAGAGCCCATCAGGCATGTCATCAGCACCCTTGTGCATCCATTGTGGCAGCCATCGATGTTCAACGATGAGTTCTAAAGGCGAAGTACTCTTGTATCGCATGCAACACTCAGCGATAGCAACAAACTGCTCGAACTCGATTTCTCGTGGAACCATTTCGTTATGCATGTGTGCTGCGTGTAACAGAATCTCCAGAGAACCCAGGTGGTTCAACTCAATCTGGGGCATACGGTAAAGCTTAGCTTCGGAGCCATCCTTACAAAAATATTTCGTTGGGGGTAACGGAAGCAGTGTCGATATATCGTCATCGTCGTATAGGTGAAGACTGCTAGAGTGCCCTGCAAACATGCGCGCAAAGATAGGTGACGTCTCTGCAAGCATGTAAGACGAGACTCGAAAACGTAGTGCTGGATCGCTGTGGTTACATCCAGGCGCATTGTTGGCAAACTCTAGTATAGCATCGCCGCGCTGTGAGATTGCAAACTCTTTGATGGTCCGGTCAGGCGAAATGCCAGACTCTCCTGTCTGTAGAAGTTGTCTGATTTCGTTCAACTCCTGCTTGATTCTCTCGTAATCGTAAAAGCGCATTTCATATTTTGGAAACTACAATTTGTCAGCTGTTGTCTCTTGCATATCTGACCAGGACCACACACGAATTGGGGATCTGCCGACATGACCCGGGTTACACTGGCATTGCGCATTCGCTGCACAGCCTCCTTTCGAAAACGCTTATTCGTGAACAGGGCTTCCACCTGTTCCGGCGTTGCATCGCGCTCGTTGTTCTTGTAGGTCTCAATCAGACTCGTCCGGCATGCATCGGCAAGGGACTCGAGGTAGTTCTTCCAGTCGCGCACAGAGGACAGCCAGGCATCAGTGTGGTGTATGCTCTTTCCAACACTCCCAGAGACAACCTCGGCTAGACTTCTCCCACTGAAGGAACTCCTGGTGTCGTAGATCTGGCCAGGACTTTGCGGTGACTCTACGGTTGAGTCACGGCGGGGGAGATCGCCACCATTACGAGAACCACGACCGAGTTCGTCTGTGAGAATATGGCGGCATAGCGTAGCACATTGCTCCTTGTATTTTGTGAAATCTTTGTAAGCTGAGTCGACGTGGTTGGGCGTAGTAGGAAAGTTGCGAGGCATCCGTTGAAGAATGGTCTGGAGTTGTCGGATTTGGGTTTCTTGGCTTTCTAAAGGATTCGTGGTGTGGCTATCTGGAGATCTGAGATGCAGGTCGAGGTCGGAGGTGCTGGTTTCGGGGGCATGTTGACTGATTATCTTAATCTATACCACTTGGTCAGTATGAGTCCTCTGATCATGAACTTGACCAGCATACCCCTCGTCTCGGGATCTTGTTGATCAATGACTTGGTCCATTGTCGGCCGCCTCCGGGTGGAGGGCCATCGCTAGATGTTCTTGAGGCCATGTCGACCCTCATGGAAAAATTAGATTGTTTGTCGCCGGTTGGGACGGAGTTTCGGAGGGAGCGCATCAGGCCGCGATGAGGAGCGCAGCGTCAATGCCAACGCCTGACCACAGCATTGTAGTCACAGCGTGGCAAAGAGGTGCCTCGCCGGAGGGTAGCGTATGTGAGGTTTGTAACGTATTCGAGATGCGGATTAGGTCTCTAGCTGTTTCGTGTATGTAGAGTCGAAGGCGTTGCTGGATCGTCCGTACGGCCGGGGTTGTCGGATCTTTGGTGCGACGTTGGTGGAGGGTTCCAGACGGCTGGAACTGGTATTGCCACGTTCGAACCAAACTCGTCTGGGAAGATCAGGCGCGCGAAGGCGTTCTAACGAGTCAAGTAAGGATTGTAGCTGTCGACCGTAAAAGCGAGACGAGACCTCGAGACTCGGTGATTTAGGTCGTTAGTTATTGTCGTCCTCTTGAGATCAGAGTCAATGCAAGGTCAAGATCGGGATCCGGGAAGTCAGTGACAGAAAGTGGAGGACGCTTGGGTCTTAAAGGTGGGTTAGGACTCTCCCTCAGCCTCTGGCTCTTCTGGGGGTTCTGACGAAGCTGGGGTTGAAAACTGGGGCAGTCACAACTTGGCGTCTGGGCCTTTATTAGCGGGCGCCCATAAACTCTTAGTTTCTCTTGTGCAACTGTGATGAAGAGAGGGGGTCGCAAAAACGAATGCGAGTCTATGAGAAGACGGTGAGAGGAAACTAATGGTTATTTGAGTTGGAGAAGAATGAACTGCTTCATAGGATTGGCACAGTACGGACCGTTCCGATAAAGGCAGATGAATTGAGTTGAGCAAACGGTAAGAGGCGCCAGATGAAAGTATCCATGGTACGGTACTTACCTACAGAAATTACACTGTCAATAACTGATGCAATTAGCATGACATTTATGGGAATGCAATGCCTGCTTGTTCAGTGGATCTCTGTCCCCAGCAAGTTCGTTGCTGCATCTGGCGCAAAGAGGTAAGATGCATTGCGGGGGAGGAGTCTCAACTCACTCAATCTTATCGCGGTATAACTAGGACTCATCAAGGACTCGCCAGTGGACTATGAGATGAACCATCTCCTATGTCAGGGACCGAGCTGCCTTGAATACTTTTTCGTCCACCAAATTGTCTCTTGCTATTTATAAACTCGTTTTGACCAACTTGTAATACTTCTTTTCATAACAGCATGTGATGTGAAGATCCACAGCATCGTACATAGCCCCAAGCAAGGGACTTGTCAATCATATCCGCTCAAAGTTCCCGTCACAAGCAATCACAAGCCCGTGTTATCAATGAATACGATATTCCCTATTCGGATTCTATGTGGGCATTATTCTTCTCGGTGTCAGCTTTTCAGCAGAGCAGGCATCAAAAGCTGCATGCATAAAACAGTACGTACGATACATGCATCGTATTCCAGGCAACGTTTAACGGTCACGACCATCGATAGGCGTTGAAAGCATAACAAGCCATTCTATAACTGCCTCATTTTATGCGATGATATCATTTCTGCAGCATAATCTGCCCGATTTCTATTGTCAGGGCTAGGCTTCCATTAGGAAAAGAAAGCATAGGACTTTAGGATGCCAAAATAAACTCAGTAAAGAGTCTCGTAAACTTAGGCTAAACTTGCCTAAATCTTTTTACCACTCAGGATAAGCACCCTTCGCTTGGTGATGAGACAAGCCGCAGCTGATGCGTTTATTCAAAAGACATATTTTCATCTCTCGGAACCCGATAATGAAAATCTGTCAGCAAATGACTTGTTACTCAACTCATGTAAGCTGCTCCTGATTCTCCATGGAGCCAAATTGTCAAAGCTGTGGTCAAAGGATGATGGACTTTTTATCGGCCCTAGTTAAGGTCGAATTGAAGCATTTGATCTCACTTTCTATACTGATTCAATATCATGCCAGTATTCATCATTTCTACACTATTTTTAAACTAACAACTCTTATGAGAAATTGCTATTCATCAATGGTAAAGCAGTTAATTAATGTCATTGTCGTTCATAAAATCTTATTATCGTCCTCCTCACCCTATACTCACTCACCCCATCCTCAAGCCTTCTCACCAAACACAAAAACAACTCTATCCCTCCCCTTATCACCCCAACCCTCTTCGACATCCTCAATCCTATACTTCTTCAACCCCTCATCTCCCAATCCCACAAGGACCTTCAACATCCCCTCCGTCTCAACCCCCAGCTCCCTCGGATCCCACGCTCCCGGCCCCGAGCCCCGCACCGTGACATCTCTCCTCCTCAGCCCCATCGCCGAAATATCACCCATATCGCCCGCCATAGACCCAATGTTGATCCACGTAATAGGGTTCTTAGCACTAGCTGTACTGGGGCTCAACAGGAACGCATTGGGCCACGGTCCGTAGAGAAAATCGAGAACAATGTCTGCGTCTGCTGCGGCGGAAAAGTCTGTGGCGCTGGGTTCTTGAAGGACAACGCTGGCGTCGAGATCGAGCTCTGACAGCGCGTCCTTGTTGCGCGCTGCGCCTACGACGGTTGTAGCACCGAGGTGACGAGCTACCTTGATAGCAATCTTTCCACTGGCGCTGGTGACGCCGTTGATGAAGACCTTGTAAGGTTTGCCCTCCCTCCCAGTCCAATCAACACGCTTCCGCAGCGCCATCCAGCTCGCCATGACGGGATTGACCATAGCAGCTGCGACAACAGGGTCGACGCCCTCGGGAAGCTCAACGATGTTGTGAGTTGGCGCATTGACGATCTCGGCGTAACTGCCCTGCTTTGTACCAAGCAGAGAAAAGTAGACTTTCTTGCCGGTTGAGACATTGATGCCTACGCCATCGACACCGGGGACGTGGGGGAGTTCAGTGGCAGTGTAGTGTTTTCCCGCTGCGCGTGTGCGGACGAGTTGGTGAAGACCTGCAGCGAGGACTTTGATCTCTGTCTCGTTGTCGTGAACTGGAGCTGCAGGAGGGGGAATTTTGATGGACTTGGGAGGTTGACCCCATTCCGTGACTTCAGCTGAAAGCATGCTCATCTTGATAGTGTATCCGTGAATGTGTTAAACTCCTTTATTATGAGTGTAGAGTTGGAGATATGAGAACAAGTGTGAGGAACACAATGACCTTGAAGTGGAATCATACCGACGTCTTTATACTTCAACTTACACACCCGGATCTATCAAACGGCAACTAACGGAAGCAATGCGTCAGCGCTACTTCAGCCTCTCAAAGACAACCATGGCCCCTTAGTAATGAAACCCCTCTATTGCTAAGCTCGCGGGAGTCAACCAAAATTACCGCGCGAGAAGCTGCAGAATATTGGATAATACATCATGTAATCGTGCTTTCAGTCTCAGATTGACGGAACTTCGGCATCGTCCCCACCGATTTTGGGCGGTTATACGGAACAATGAGGGCGATAAATCGTAGAGTAGTCCGAGTTATTATCTGATCCGGAGATCATCACCGCGGACCTCCGAGTGGAGACCGCGGGGATGGCGAATGCTTCATCATAACCTAACAACTCATTGATCCACGGAGGAGTCGTCCCAATTCTAGAAACTAATATGCATTAAAACTTTCATTTATCTCTTTTCTGTGCTTCGTTACATCTGCCCATGCTTTTACTGACAACCATCTAAAAAAAACCGCTTGACCCTTCTTTGCCCATGCAGCCTGTAAGGATATGAACCGCTGTCCTGCCCCCCCTTAAGATGGACTTGTCTTAAATGCAATTGCAGCTCTGTATATAAAACGCCTCCTCCCAACCGGCCATGTGTAGAAAGACGCCAACGCCTCTTCGTTTCCATGTGTGCTTGCAACCAACCAGACCGACCGACCAGCCACCCACCCAACCATCCATCTTCGCTCTCATCTAGCCAGCGGATCCGGCCTTGCTGTCCTTCTGCTCTTCCATCCTGCCCTCCCGACGTTGCCAATCTGTATGTCAAGTCCGCAGACCGCTGCGTAATAAATGTTATGAGTAACACCGTTGGACATCAATCGTACACTCTTGCTACATATGTCAATATCTGGAAACCATCCAGAATAATCTCCAATGTGCCAGCTCTCCCCTCATGCTTTTAAGCTTTTCAAGTCCTCGTGAATCGTTGATTGCGTGCCAACATTGCAAGTCGCCCTATCCAAAATGACAAAATGCCGGTTAAGATCAAGGTCCAACTTTACAGGCTTATCCCAAAGACACTCGTCAAGGGGTCTGTCGACATGTCTCGTCACTTCTCAGATCGAGAATATCGATTAACCGCCCTTTCGTTCCGACTCGTGCTTGGGGGGCTGCTCGCCATGTCCTTGTTGCCCGTTGTTGTTGGCGCCCTTCTTCTTTCCCTTGCCTGCTTTTTGCCAACCACCATCGGTTTCACTTCTAGCTCCACGAACGTGGCCGTTTTCTCGGGCTCCGTTGACCTTTTGAGAACCTGACTTCTGGTTCTTCTGAGACTTTGTACTCTCTTGAGGCTCTTGAGTTCGCTCTTCGGCTTTTTGGCTGGACTTTGGTCCATCTCCTCTTCCTGTTTTAGGACTGTTCTGCTTCTCTGACTTCCAAGGTCCATCCTTTCGAAGAACTGTGGGAGAAGGAGTGCGATTCTCGTAAACTGGCGAAAGATGAGCAAAGTCTTGACCAACTGGCGGTCTGTTGATGCGGTTCTCAGCAATAGCAAGATCAAGAGGAGCAATCATGCCGTTCTGCTGACGCGACATCAGGCGCTGGCGTGTCGAAGGGGACAATCGAGAGTTTGCTGCCACCATCGGGTCCTGTACGATATGAGGACTTGCCATGTAGTAAGCGCTCATCATCGCGATGCGATCGCGGAATGATGGATCGTCTGCCGTGGATGGAGCTGCAGCCATCATTGGGGCAGCGGAACCATTGGCCACCACAGGAACAGGGTTGTAGGCACCTTGTTGGTTCATAGCTCCTTCAGGTACAGCCTGCGGCATGACGGGTCCATCAACAGGAAAGCTGGGAATACCAT